ATCAAAATGCAAGAGAATGGAGGAGAAGAAGAGCCTTCAAATTCTGAAATTTGGCAACCCTCTAGAGAGCATGGTGCTCTCGGATTTCATAGCCAAGAAGAAGAAGAATGAAGCTTGCTTGAACTTATTTCAAATGCCTTCCATGCCCTTCCTTATATAATAGCCAAAAAGTGAAAAAAGACCATAAAGCAAAAGCATGGACAACTTTGTTCCAAACATAACATAAATTGAATAAACAATTCAAAAAAAGATCATGCTTGGTCTCCTCTTGCTTTTTCGAAAAAGCATGCCATAATGAAGACAAAATTTGTCTCAAGGCTAGTTTATATATATACATATATGTTATCTTTATAAAAAATCAATCATGTTTATAAAGAATTCTCAACATATATATATATATATATATATATATATATATATATATATATATATATATATAGAGAGAGAGAGAGAGAGAGAGAGAAAGCTAGGTTCATATGTGGATGAACATATATTGTGTGGACGTAAAGATCAATAAGAATTCAGAAAAAATTAAATCATTAATTATATTAATAAGGGTAATTTGGTAATTTCATATTAAAATAAAATAATTTCTATAATTATTCTCCTATAATCATGGTAATGTAATTGACTGCTTCTAACCCTAATTTTCTCCTCGTTTTTTTAAACTGCAGCTAAAACACATCTTTATACACATCTCAAGAATCTAATGTCGCCTTGCCTGCGGCCGATTCCTACACCACCATTGCAATTTTATCTTCGGCGCTTCTATTTCCACCGTCTTGCCATCATCATCGCCCAACCCCATCACCATCCATTTTATGCTTCCACCATATCCACGTTGAGGGTTTTGTCGGCCACTAATGCTTTAACCGAGGTAATCCAAACAAAATTTCTAATATTTCTTATGGGTTTTATAAAGATAACCATGCAATCTCATTTCATTTTCATCATTAAAATGGAGTTAATTAATAGCAACCCTCTGACTTGCTTGGTGTTCTATAGTTAATACATAATTTCAAACTAAAAATATCAAACTCGGTTTTATGCATAAACTGTTTAATAGTTAATAAAAATAAAAATTAATCAATATATGATTCTAAAAACATAATCGAGATTCTTACTATGAATATAGTATTGAATGTGATTTCTAAACTAATTATACGTGTAGTATTTTCATTTTTACATACAATTCAATTTTGTAAAGATATAACTAGTAATGTATTTTAATTGTTATAACGAGTTATGTAAGTTTGGGGACTAAGTTTGCAGTAAAAATGATTAGACATCAAAAGACAAACATCAAATTATTTTATTTTATTGTATTTATTGTGATCTCATCGATTAAAATTTTGAGTCTACATATTTTTTTTACATTATGCAATGGATTTAAAACACATATTATATTGATCTTTATTACTGTTATTTTTATCACAACAATATGAAGGTGTATACCTTTGTCGTGACAAACAATTAGTCCCGTATCGCATTGTATCTTTGATCCAACATCTGCTGCATGTACTAAAAAAGATTAATATTCATATATTATAACATGACTATAGATTTTGATTATGTTTTGGAAACCATGAACATTAACTTTTTAAACTTGTTTAAGGTAACATTTCATTGTGGCCTTGCCAAAGGTTATGTATAAGCAATTGCGTTGTTAATTTGTAACTTACAGGTACCTGCAATGCAATCAAGTTCAAGATAAGACTATGCCGCCAATAATTATTGTAACATCCATAAATTTTACGTCAAATTTAAACTTTTCAAGCATAAATAAAACCAAATAGCAATTGTTTACAAAAGTGTTTTCAATTCATTATTCAATCAGAGTGTCCCAAAAGCCAGATCATAAGGATGAGGAGCGGTACGGTCACGCCTTCGCCTTGCCATGAACTCATGAAGTACCTGAAACAATAAACTGAAAACTATAAGCCCGAGGGCTTAGTGAGCTACCCCCAAAATACCAATACCACACTGATAATACCATGTCCGTAATAATCAACCAATCAACATGCATACTGGGCCATCGGCCTGACTGGACCGCCCTATAGGGCCTACAGTCCAACTGAATCTATACCGAGCCTTCGGCATGACTGGACCGCCACGTGGGCCTACAGTCTCCCCGGACCGCTCATAGGGTGTGTTGGCCTTCAGCACAGAGCAGGACCGCCTCAACCCAAGCAACAAGCTACTAATCATGTACGCATAACTAACATATACTGGCATATACAATCATCAAACATATCTATCTCACTGATCACCAATCATAGCAATCACTCATAACTAGAGCACTGACCTAGCAGGTCACAAACATATTAATCCCTACGGATCATAAGAGCATAACATACTGTCTATCCTGATTCCGATCTAACAGATCATATCCACATGTAGCGTACCATAATGATAACAACTAAAAGGGGCCGGCCTTGGTGTCTTAGACCCTATCGATATAGTGAGGATAACTCACTTCGCAGATGTCGACTCGGTAGATAAGTCCCAACTCTCGGATCACTTGCCAAGGACTCTCCCACCTCTCACCATAGTACGAAAATACTTATAAGTCCTTAACCTCACAAGGTACTCCATAAACCGACTAGTCAACCCCTGGTCAAAGTCAAAGTCCTCAGTCAAGGTCGACAGTCCATATTGTCCTTAACTCGCCGAGTACCCTCAGCTACTCGCCGAGTTCCTTGAAGTTCTTCCCCACTCGCCGAGTCACCGAGGTGACTCGTCGAGTTCCTACGATTTTAAATCGAAACCCTAATGCCACCCGCCGAGTTTCCTTCTTGCAACACGACGGATACACGCACCTTCATAACTTGGGGAAAACTCATCCGACTCGCCGAGTTGTTCATACAACTCGTCGAGTCTATGGCAATCTTCATCGGACTCGCCGAGTTACTCATCCAACTCGTCGAGTTCAAGGCCATCTTCATACGACTCGCCGAGTCAACCTTGCGACTCGCCGAGTTCCTTCAGCCCTTAAGCCATACAGACTCATTTAAGCCATGCAATGGCTCCAAATTACAGATCCAAGCTTCTAGGGCATGCTTTTCACGTAAAGTTGCAAACTTTACGTGTATGCATGGCTAAAAAGGCTCTTAATGGCAATTCTAAGCTCTTAATGGGGTTTCATGCACAAGGAGGGTCTCAATCACCCCCAAACCCGCAACTTTATGACTCTAGGACTTAGGAAGGGTCTAGATCTGAAGTTACAACTTCAGATCTAGCCCATAGCTCCCCATATCAACTCAAATCCATAAAACCCTAAAACTCATCCAAAAGAAAAGAGATCTAGAAGGAAAGGGAAGTAAAGATTGCAACTTGATACCTCCAGAAGATGCTGGCTGAGGTAAGTTCTGCTTCCCACACCTTCCTTGCTTCAACTCCTTTGATCTTCAAGCTTTTCCCTCCTAGCCAACCTTCTTTCCAAGGCTTAAATCACACCAAGAAGAGTACCACACGAATTAGGGTTTCACTGAGCTCTCAAAGACTGTAAAGAAGCCAAAGGAGGCTGAGGCTCCTTTAAATAGGGTGCAAAACCCTGGGATTTAGGGTTTCATCTGCCAGCTCCTACTCGTCGAGTCCCTTCATGGACTCGGCGAGTAGGTCACTAAACACGCGATCCCACGCCGCTGCTACTCGACGAGTAGGGCAACCAACTCGTCGAGTAGGACATAACCAAATATCCTTTTATTTAAATCCATACCTGAGAATCGGGGCGTTACAATTATATTCTTACGAGATTACACCACATTTCTCTAAGAACTGTTGGAATCAAGTTGATTATATGAACCGTTGAATAAGATCAACTGTATTCGTTCAAGACTTGTATATTTAAGAATGCTATTATTTTCAGAAATTTATTTTAAGAATGCTATATTAAAGAGAATAGCAACAATATTCTTTCAGAATGATATAACAACTATATTCCGTCAGAATGGATTGACAACGATATTCTGTCAAAATGTATTAACAACAATATTATTTCAAATTTATTAGAAACAATATTATTTCAAATATATTAGTGTTTTACTTAGATTTTGATGTTTTTATTTGATTTTTAAGCATTCTCAGTTTTATTCTTTACGAATAAATGTAATTCTTAACCATTTAAATGATATGTAATTCGACTAATTATTGGAGAATGATTAAAGAATGATCTAATATTCATTCTTATTGGACAAACTTCAAGCTTTCAAAATTTAAAACTATTTATAAGTTTATGACTGACATTCTTATAGAATGTCAATCTAATAGAATGTTATTCCGATAGAATAAAGTCGGTTAAGATTAAAAATTATGTTAGAATGAAACTTTAATTAATTAAAAAAATCAGAATTTAGAATTAAGAGAATTAATTATCCCTTAAACTCTGAATTTTTCCTTTTTTAAATATAGTGTAATTGACTAAAATACCCTTATAGTTCAATTTGGGTGATTGTATGGTACATATTATTCCATTGTAATATCATATACCATCAGATCATAGCCATTCATTCTTTTAATCCATTTGTCTATAATTGTCCTTACGACCACACAATAGATGTCATCCACATTATAACCTAGCGATATATATATATATATATATATATATATATATATATATATATATATATATATATCTTATTTTATATAAAACTATCTTTTATATTATCTAGCTTATTTTATATAAAACTACATTCTATATAAACTGAACTAGTTTATTAAGATATAAATATAACTTATAAATAATCATACTTTATGATATATTTCATAAGTTGTTATTTCTCCAATAAATATAATTTCTACAAATAATAAATTATCAATTAGTAAAATATTATTTCCATGAAATAATAATTTTCCAATTAAATACAAGTGTTGATATATTAATTAATAATCAAATTATACTAATAAATAATCAATTGACGGTAACTTGCTATATGGTGGGACCCTATATATCATATATTATTAGCAATATCATTCTATGACTATTAGACATACAAGATCTTTCAACGCTTCATCACAATCACAATCTCAGGTGAAAGATAAACATTGTCGGTTACCCCTCCAACCACCATTGAACCCGTCCCACCCCTTTCCTCCCCAAAGCTTTGGCGACACCCCAAAATTTCATGAACCCAAAATCTGAAATCAAACGTAAATAAACCCTAAACCTTTAAATCAAAGCTAACTAAACCCTAAGCCTACAATCGAAATCCAAGAGTCATAGGAAAAGAAAGAAGATTCAGATTGATGCTACTTCGTAACCTGCAGGTCTGACGGATTTCTGTAATGCTATAGCGAATAGAACTACATCTAATCCCGTTGTTGAGATTGAGTGTGAGATCACTACATAATATCATATAAACTCGATTATGATTTATGTAATTGTAATTTAGGGGAATAATATCAGTGTGAGATCACCTGGTTTAAAATCCAATCGACGATGCCTGCAAAGTGCGAACTCGACTATACGAAGATATCGATTGCCAACTGGAATCTTTTGAGAGATACAAAGACGAGACGATGAGGTTGGTTGGAGATGAAAATTAAATGGATGGCGACCGAGACAAAATCAACGGCGATAGAGATAAATACCTAGGAGACTAAATGGACGACAAATGAGAGCAAAATCGATGGAGACCAAAGGGGCATGTAGAAGTCGACGTCGCTGGTGGTGGTTAGGTTTTCCAACATAAATGGAGGTGTTTAGAGTTATAGACACAATGGAGAGAAGAAAGAATGGGTTATTTGGCATTTATCTTCACGTTCCAATTTCAAAGAGTAGGACTAAAAGGTGGGCCATTATTTTTCTTTTTAAAATTATAAATAATCAATAATAACATTAAATTAAGTTAATTGAAAAGTAAAAAGACATAATACTCATTTTAGTTTTGGCATTAACTAAATTCGCAATAAAATTGTGAAGGATGAAGCATGCAAACAAATTAATTTTTAAAAATAGAAAGCCTTCTCTAGAAAATAGAAAGTTTTTTTATTGTTTAATTTACCCATATTTTTTATTTAGAAATTAGAAAGCTTTGCGCTTTTGTTATTGTATAATCCATCCTCGCTTTCAAACCCTCCCTCTTTCGTGATCACGGTAGTTGCCGCTTCGATTCTTTCAGTTACTGGTTGATTTTTCTGTTATAAATCGAGTCGGTTGTTCCCAAACCAATTACTAGTTCTTCCGTGATCTTAGAGCATGTATCGGCGTGACTTCTCGTTCTTACAGTTGATTAAACTAGAAATTTTCTGTAATCGTTCATGATTGGAATGAAAATGGAGCTATTACATGGGAGCTTGATCTCTCAGTTCAAAGCTCGACAACCAATTTTGATCTTCTCCAAGCGCACTAAGAAACAAGATTCTCTTATTGTCGTAAACCTGTTTAGGTATTTGTGCTTCCATTTTCGATCTTAATTTGGGATGAATTTTTCTTTGCATATTCATTTCTTTTCTTGACTCTTTGATTTCGCCTCATTTCAAAATATTAATCGACTGATATCAGTTTAATCACAGAAAGTCGATTTATCCTTACATAAACAGTGTTGTTTCGTAATGCAACATCATTTTCCAATGATTTTTAAGATCCGGAATAACTGAAATTGATCAAATGAAGTATATAGCTATAAATGTTATTCGTGCTCTCTATCAAATCGATTTTCGAAAGTAATACAAAGAGAACCCTGTTCATTTTTTGGTGTCTAAATCCATGATTTACCAAGATTCTTTTTGTTTATAACCTATATCTGATCCATCGTTTTGTCTTTCAGGGAGAATTTCCCAATTTCATACACCCGTTGTAGAACCCTTGAGAGCCATTGGGATAATACTCAAAGCATTAGACACCCAGCTGTTTCCAGTAATGATGACTCAAAGGTTCCTGAGTTGATTTTCACCCGACTTCAACTCAGTGATGAGGAATATCTAGGCATGCAAAGGCGTAGCTTTGGTCATTACATTGCTCGTGAAGCAGTATTGAATGAAGAATATTGGGTTTGTTTCCCTTTTCTTATAGTCATTACATTACATGCTCTCTTTATTTGAGTTAATTTTCTGAAACTGCTTTTTCACATATCAGATAGCAGCATGGCTGCGTGCAGAAGCTCAATGGGAAGCCTCATCCAACAAGAAGTCAGTGATTTCTTGGAAAATTAGCATTTTATCTTTTTTCTTTTCCTACCTTTCTAAATGCTTAGGTGATAGATCTTGATATGTCCAATTTGCAGCTTCAGGCACGCTCAAAATTTTAAAATGAAGTATTCTGATCAGGTAACAACCTCAGACAATGATTCTTTGATAGCATTGCAAGTAATGATTGATTATGAAGAATACAAAGTGCATAAGTTACATGATCAAAGCTCACCAATTGAGTTAATTCAAGTCCGAATGCCATATCCTACTTAATAAATTATTTGGTCTTTAAAGTTACATATGAGATGCTTCTTTTGTTTAAATCATTAATGGTTTCTTTCTCTTTGTGCAGGAGTACAAAGCTTTGAAGAAAAGATGTTCTGGACAGGATGGGAACTTGTTGCAGTGCTTCTGTCTTGTTGCTGTAAGTCTTGTTGAAGAAAATCTATACACATTACATTTTTATGTTGTAGACTGATTTGAGTATAAATCAACCTGTTATATACATATATGATATATCTAGTACAAGTCATGTAGACTTTTGACATTTCAGGTTAAAAAGGAAGTGAAAAATGTGAAAAGAACTGTATTGAACAGTATTGTTGGAACTATGGACTTGAGCATCCGACAATATTTGCAAGGAGAGACATATCCTGGGGTATATTTATCCATCCATCTTATAGTAAATTACATTATTGTCCCTGTACGTACTTTCACTTTCATTAATTTGTTTATTATAGCCTTCTACTTTCATTTCTTCCAGTTACATGCTTACAACATTTTACTTGAAAAAATCTACCAAATTATAGCAAGTAAAAAGTGATTTTTACTGTTATTATTGGGTGATTTTTTTTTTTAAAGTATAGTGTCCTAATAAGAAAAAAGTTGAAAGTACAATGCTATAGTTTTAGATTTTTGAAAATACAATGGCCAATAAGAAATAAAGTGAATGAAAGTTCATTACATGATAACTAAAGCATTAGTAAAAATAAATATGAGAAAATGATGATGTGATAATTTGTTTGATAATAGGAGGTAAAGAAGCAATCGGGTGTGTTGGCATGTAAACAAGCTGATGATGCACACAAGTATGCCTACATCTCAAATGTTGTTGTGGCATTATACGCCAGGCGTCGTGGAATTGCATTAAACATGTTACACCTTGCCATTCATATGGCAACATCTCTAGGTCACCTTTTTTTTTTTTTTTTTTTTTTTTTTTTAAATAAAATTCCTACATCATCTTTTATTTTATTTTGTTAACTGCCCTTTAATCAATTTCATTATAGGTATGAAGAAACTATTCGTTCATGTAACCACAGGCAACAAACCTGCCCAAGAACTCTACAAAAAAGCGGGCTTCAAGGTTTGTACTTTTTACTCATGTGGTAATGTAACAAATATGTATTTGAAAATTTTGATGTTACAAGGTTTGGATTTATTATTGTCCGACTGAAGTTGGAATATGTTTTGCAGTTTGCCACAAATGATGCATCAAATGAGGGGCAGCTACTAATGTGGATGGAACTGAATTGACTTTTGGGAGTTACTCACATTCTTTACTTGTATATAGCTAGGAGTTGGATTTGTTCTACATTGTAGATTCACTTGTGAATGATGTGACTATACCATACATACATACATACACACATGTAAATAGTTTCTCTTCTTGGTGTTACAATAAGCATTTGAGATGTCATAAATCTTTCCTTGATTTTTTCCATCTCCCTCTCGAAATAGAGAATAGAAAAATCCACCAAAAGAAGGAAGATGTTGATAATTGAACTACGAAATACTTGCCTTGTTACTTTTTTGACTTCATAAATACAGTTAAGTCTTGATAGGTTAGTTTATGTGGGTAGCAAGAAGGATTGTATCTTCACTGAAGAAGGGTAACATTGTCTTTTACTCATATTCAAACATTTATATTTAGATGGTGCATTCGGTCTAAAAAGAAACAATAATTTAATCTGATAAGCTATATGTGAATGTTTTCTGACTTAAGGTAGAAAGAAACTTGATGGAGAAAATTAGAAAAGTTGGGGTCTTTTGTTCTTCCTTTCTATTTCTCTAACATTTCAATCATTTTCTCAAATATTTAATAAACATCATTTATAAAACTAACACCAACACTAACACTTTATCCACATAACATTTAATGGAATAAAAACATCACTCCCCACACACTTGTGCATGAATCCTTACCAACAGAAGGAAGAAGTAAACATGACAATGCTCAATGTAGTACAATTTATGTTCATGTGTCCTAAAAAAAATAAAATTCAACTCTGGAATAATGAGATACTCTGAAGGAGTAATGTTGATTTTCAACTTCTTAAGGGGAAAAAAATAATTAAAAATAGAGATTTTACAACTTGTGTTTTCAACTGTTTATCAAACAAACAATTGGCAACATGTCTATCTACACGCAAAACTTGTGCAATAATACAAGCTAATGACACAACATAACATGGGAGAATAAAATGCCCAAATTTTTTACTTGGGTTCTTGCATATCCTCTTCTGTTTTCCAAACAACATCATCCAGGCTACTTGAAAGTCTTTTGTAAAACTGCAACAAAAATAAACAAAACATGAGCAAAAGATTCTTTTCCTTGAACACACTATATACCTTTTTTTTTTTTTTTTTTACTTGATCAGCTTTTATGAGTTAAACACTTAACCTGGACAACTATACATGACTGTTTTCTTTTTTACTTAATCCAGACATAATGACTTATTGGGTTAAGCCAAAAAAAAAAGCCTGGCTTAATGTAGTAAGACACTAACCCTTTTACCAATTTGCCTTTCTTTTTTCCTCCAAACAGGATTCCACTCAAGTTAAAATTGTTGAATATTGCCAAAATTAATGAATAATGTGAAATTCTTTTTAGAATGTATGGATAAAATGGTCATTCAGATAGATGGTGTATTCAGTGTAGAAAAGAAAGCATACCTTATGAAATTCCAAAGTGTCTCCTTTGGCTTTTCGTACCTCAACCATGTGAAGTGATGGTGCTACTTGAAATACCTAGTAAAAAAATTAACAAATATTTTGTCAAAATCATTCATAATTACTTGATTACGCATATCATGACAATCATGATACCTCTGTAGCAACATTAAGGTTTCCCTTTCTCCCAGCTTTGATGTTTTCAAGCCTTAACTGAGGTAAGAACAAAAAAAAAAAAGAGAGAATGGTTACTCTTACTTACTCATCTGCAAACCTAGCTTTCAGGATTAAGAAGTGTGATTTGATAAATTATGTTGAGAGTGAATTTGTAAAAGGACATATATAGCTTAATTAGATTCAAAAAGAAACTTGCTTCTTTTGACCTTATAGTTTTTCTTGTGCACATCAAAACCAAGAGGTCTTGCAGCTTCTTCTATTTTACTAATTATCTCATTTGCAGGGCATCTTGATGTGAATCTCGTCTCCCTTTTGAATCCCTGCCCAAAAAACAACCCTAGTAAGTTCAGTGATACAATAAAAGATATATTCAGAAATATATAAATAATTTAAAAGCCTACAAAAAATCAAGTATTAACCTGATCCGTGTCAAAAAGGTTCCCGAGGTTGAGCCCTTTAGACATAGAAATCAACTCAAAAGCATTCATGGCAGCTGGAGGTTCTTCTTTCTTTTCTGTTACATGATACTCCTGTTGTAAAACAAAAACAAAAACAAAATATATATCAACTCCCACACAAACAAACTCAATTAATGTGATAACCACATGTTCAAATAAAGTTGATAAACCGACTTCAGAATCTTGAAAAGCAGCTTCCACATCATCAAAGTTTGTCTCTTCTTTCTCTATGAATTCAGGTTGTTTATAACCTTTTTTAAACCACTCATCATTTAAAACCTCAGGCACTGTTATTCGCTGTCAAAGAAAATAAAAGTATGATACTAATAAAATGCTCCAACAGATTTGTTATTTTACATTTTATTTAAATATGAAAATTAGTACAGATAAATACAAACTCATACAGTCATGGGGTTGGGATCCAATATGCGAGTGATCAACTTTATGGCACTAAAGGAGACCCATGGAGGACAAGTGAACTCTGCAGCCCCAATCTAAAAAACACACACACACACACAAACTAACTAATTACAATATCATCACAGAAAGGAAATCAACCAAAGCATACAACACAATATAAATATAAATATAAATATATAAATATGAATATATAATGCTCACTTTTTTATATAGGTTCATAAGATTAGAATCATCAAATGGCAAGTAACCTGCAAGCAACACAAAGAGTATGACTCCACACGACCATAAATCTGCAGTCGCCCCATCATACCCTCTATCATTCAAGACCTAAAAATAAAGGATAATATATCAGTAATGCACAACCTTAAGGGAAAGAAACAGGGTGTAAATTGTAAATTGTAATTAACACCTCAGGTGCCACATAATTTGGAGTTCCACATGTTGTGTGAAGTAAACCATCATCCTGTAAAATAAACCTTAAAATTTTAGGACAAACCTTACATGGATTATAAATTCAAATGCTTCCTATGAACAATTACAAGTTTTAATCTCTCATATTTACCCGAACTTGTCGAGAAAGGGCACTCAATCCAAAATCCGAAACTTTCAGGTTTCCGGAAGCATCTAGAAGCAAATTTTCAGGCTGCAGGAAAATCAATGTTAGAAAGAATGAGAATATAAATACAAAAGGTTATCAATATGCACTAGTAACACTATAAGGTGAAATGGAATTTTATAAAAGATGCAACTAAACTTTCACTACCTTTAGATCTCTATGATAAACACCCCTACTATGGCAATAGTCAACAGCATTGATTAGCTGTTGAAAATATTTTCTGGCTTCATCTTCATGCATCCTTCCATGGTTCACCTTCATAATTAAACTTTAACAATAAGCTATATTCTTTCTACCCCCATACATTTGGGGGACTATTTTCATGCAGTTTGAACATAAAAAATGTCAAATAATCTGGAAAAACAAAAAAAGATACGTTTATAAAGATTAGTGAATTACAATTTTATCGAAAAGCTCTCCTCCTGTGACAAACTCCAATACGATAAATATCTTGGTCTTGCTCCCCATAACCTGAAGGAACAAAAAACTGTTAAGCCTTAATCTGAGTGTGTGTGTGTGTGAGAGAGAGAGAGAGAGAGAGAGAGAGAGAGAGACCTCGTATAAGCGGACGACATTTGGATGCTTTATCAACTTCATAGTAGCTATTTCCATTTTTATCTGCATCACCAAGATGATACATAAGAAAGGAAGTAAAAGAATCAAATTTGATTTATACGTATTAATATTTTTGACTTAAAAATAGAAAATGTTAGGGAAATGAAGTAACCTGTTCAGCCATTTTGTGCTTAACAACTTTTTCTTTGTCAAGGATCTTGATAGCTACAGGGTCCCCAGTCTCAGAATTCCTAGCAAACTTCACTTTTGCAAAAGTTCCCTCGCCAATTGTTCTTCCCACTTCATATTTACCCACTCTACGCTTGATTTTGGGAGGATTCATTCTTTCTTATCTGAAAACTAAACATTATTCTTGTATCAGGATTTCATATAATACTCAGACATGCAAGAAACTAGTAAATCACTTATAAAACCTGCTATAAACCATGCCAAGTCACATTGATGATTTGTACCCAATATTCTCTATCCTTCAATATTGCAGAAGTTCAATTTTTTAAACAAAAGTTGGCGTTATTTAAGAGTTAAAACGCAATTCGTGATTAATTAAAAGAAGGGCTAAATGCAAGAAATATATATATCATAAATCCCTCTGTTATTAGTTCATAGTTTCATGTCAGAAACCAGTCACCTCGACTTTTAATTTGAACCAAAACTAATGAAATTGAGTAGATCCAGTGCCCCAGCTTATGCGAGTAAAGAACAGTTACCTAAAAGCAACTAAATTAAAACCCCAGTTCATATGGTAAGCAAACAACAAATACATATGTAATCAAACTGAAAGAGGGAGAAATGGATCAGAGTATACCCTGGATTCAGTGGAATTGAGATGGAGCAGAGCAGTAGAAAAAAGTATGAATGATGGTAGACAAGTAATGAAGGTTGGGAAGTATGATTTGTTAGGTAAGAAGATAATCGAAGATGCAGCGTTTGATGTCGTTGTTTATCTCTAAAAGGAAAATGATGAAGAATTGGTGAAGCAAATCGAGCATATTTGTGGAGGGATCCATGTGGGTCATGATCTTCAGAGACAAGAGTCACCATGCCGTCCAACACCATCCACATATGCGCTGACACCCGCCACATCGGGTCCCATGTGTGGTTGTATGTATGTGGATCTGTTTCAGCTTTAAATAATACATTTGATTATTAGATATACATCATAAATCTCTCTCTCTCTCTCTCTCTCTCTCTCTCTCTCTCTCTCTCTCTCTCTCTCTCTCTCTCTCTCTCTCTCTCTCTCTCTCTCTCTCTCTCTCTCTCTCAAAATATACATAGAATATTCCTTCGCTCAAAGTTCGCTTAGGTGAATAAAATATCTATAAGATGGGCTATCATCTCCTTAACACGGGCTATCATCTCCTTATTCTAATAAAAGAACAAATTTAATCTCCTTATGCTATGTGTCAAGGTATTACACCTCCTCATTGATTTCATATGCCACCTGTCAGTTAGTGTATTGCTTTTTCATTTTGAATTTGATTTGATTTTGAATCTTAGTTTTCCATGCACCCTTTCAATCTTATTCCTGCTATATTACCTTCTGCTATGCTACTATTAATTTGGCATATTCTAAGCTGTAACAGATTTACTGATTTTTCGGGATTACTATCAATTGCACCAGATTATTAAGGTAACAACTCTTTCGATTCAATGTAACACATGTAATCTTCTCCAATTTTCAAATCAACCGGTTCATATATACCATGTTGGTGATTTTAGTGTCACCATGTCATTTTATGTAACTGGAACAAACATGTGAGTTATGAGGCTTCATAGATTGTACTCTAATATATGTACGGGGTTGTGTGGAGTGCACACATGTATATGATCGAATCAGAAGTCGGTTCGACGACAAGTCGGGGGGTCCGGGGGCAGCGCCCCTGGGTCCAGGGTTTCCAAAGGGGCGGCGCCCTTTTGGCGGGGTCTAGGGGCGGCGCCCCTTTGGCGGGGTCTAGGGGCAGCACCCCTAGCGGGGTCCAAGGGGCAGAGCCCCTGGCTGGGGTCCCGCTGACCTGGTAAAACTGACGAAATTCGAAAAATACATAAAACAAATTCTTGAGGGTGATTATGGTAAAAACTTACGAAATTCGTCAGTTTTGGAAACCCTAAATCCTCATTAAATTTCAGATTTCCTGGCTTGCTTCCAAAGCAACCCATGACAGTCAACCCAAATAGAAACTTTAATCTCGTTTATTATATAAACGGCTCTTCTCTTTAAGAAGAAACACACGAAATTCTTAAGCTGTCGTTTTCATCAAACAAACATAGAATCCTTCTAGTAATTTGGCTTACGACTTCTGTGCCTAGAATCGTAAGTGTCCTCTTGGATTATCTTGGGCTGAATTTCTTGCAACCCAGGCATAGGGTAGAAATATCAGTTCGGAAAGTGTTCACACGGTCCAAGTGATATCCAGATCTCCACTACAAACCCTATCTTCTCTAACATACCATTGCATACTACCTCTGTATTATATAATTGAATACTACCTCTGTATTATATAATATATCCTCAACGACGGTTGTTTCTTTTCTGCCAAGCATTCTCGATTTCAAGATTTGAGGTTAGTAATGTATCATTCATTTCTTCTAATTTTATTTTTAACTACATACTTGATCAAAATGACATCCATTTCAAATATGACCTTTGTGCACGAAAGAGATATTTGATTTCTCAAAACTAAAAAGTCCTAAGATGCATTCATGTTTGCCTAATGAAACTTTTAGATGTTAAGTCCATTGATAATATAACTTCGATTGATGAAAGGTTTTTCTTAAGTGTTTAATGAAATGTCTGAATGAATAATTTTTCAAAGTATATTGGTTTTTCATTATTTTTTCATTTATGAAGGAAAACTCCATGGTTAGTAAAATAGCTGAATAGATTCTACATATTAATTTTTGGGTGTCAATATAAGAGTTTAAATGTGTGTGTAGACAAGTTTTGTTTCATATTCTATAATCTGGTGTTGTTTGTTGATGTTTTAAAGGAGAAAATCAGGGGTTGAGTTGAAAGTAGAATGTTTGAGGAAATATATGATATTGTGAGCCTCTATAAGTAAAACGTAAAATGGAATATGGTTGCTTTATTTCATTTTTGTAGAGTAATTCTTTTGTGGTTCTGAATGTAATGATCTCAGCTCCATTGTTTGCAGGAAGGTATACACAATGGAGTAATGGAAAAATTTGACAGATTTTACAAAAGGCCAAGCAGAGGTATAGGGTTATATGTGTATTTGTAGGTGTATCATGTGCAAACATTATTTAAATACCTGAATTATTCTATAAAATAGAACTTAATTTATTTATATTCGTAATTTTGCAGGATTATAAGGTTTTAACATTCAGGTAGGTTGCTCTTTCGAAAAAAAAAAACATTCAAGTAGGTTGTAGTAGTTTATGACAACATTGATTTGTTTATTTTTGTAGGATTATAAGGTTTCTACCATTCAAGTGAGATCTACCATTACATGAGTAGTAACATCAGTTAGTTTTAGTTCTAGTTCCTATATGGAGACGGAGGTTTAACTAGTACCTACATATTTGTAACATCAATTAATTTTAATAGGCATAACTGAGAAATTGAACTCATATTTACAATATATTCGTTATAAGGCTTGCAACATTCCTTATAATATCCATTTTTCAACAGGTCCATATTTACAAAATTGAACTCATTTTATCTATTTGATAGTTTTTTATATTCAAAAGTGAGAGATTAGATCTCGTTTCGCTAGATTTAATTGTTTAAGTGTAAATGAGTAAATTAATTTTTCAATTAAACATTTTTTTTGGAGTTTGTAGATACATTTGTAGCCTTTACAAAAGGAAATTGAATAGGTGATTCAAGATTACGTTGATTTTGAAAACTGGATTTGAGAAAGCAAGTCTTGGAGTTCTTAACCCACCAAAGAGAAGGTGTAAATTGAATTAGGTACGAAAAATAACTTTCGTAAAAGTTTGGTGAATGATTTTATAATCTTTTTATAGATCTTAATTGAGTTTAATTAATTGTCTAATTACATGTAATGACCATACTGCTATAGACTTTAGTATGCACTTATGCATGGTGCTTAATTTGGGTTACATATATTGTACAATCTTCTATATATAATAAATAAGCCTTTGTAATATATGAATATCTAACCTACTGGCATATTATAATACATATATATTTGGTATTTATGATTAATTATTATGATTTTTATAGTGTTTATATTATTTTCCTTATATCAACCGTGTAGCACACGAGTTATAAACTAGTTTAGTTAATAAAATGGGTCTTTAGTTTGATCTCAACATATATTAGCTAGTGTTAGACCCGTCTGGTGGACGGTTGACCGGTGTAATGAAAAAAATGCTTTAAGGTGTTTTAATATAAATTATTACCATGCATTGTCGAATAAAAAATCTAACCAAATAGATAACATATGAATGAAAAAATGCATAAAAAAGACTATAAAATAAAAACCATAGCAATCGAGTAGCATACAATGAAACAAAATTAAGTTAAAAACGAAAAGTGAAACATAATGATTAATACATTTAAAGTCAAGTAGGAATATCATCATCAGTACACTCCTCACACAATCGTGGAAATCGACGTTTTGTTCATGTTATTGAGGATCTGAGCCACAATTCTTCTGCAAAATCAACTTCTATATCAGCAGAAGCCGCCTAACTTTAAGAATACAAACACAACAGTACCAATCATGAAAAAAAACATAATATAAGAAAAATAGCTAAAAATAACAGGTAAAATGAAAATATTACCATAGCGTAAGCAAAATAGAAAATATAAACAATATGTTGTAACTTACTTGAATGTCTTAAACAACTTCTAGAGTACAAATAGAGGTAGGCGTGTTACAAATATAATCTTGAATATTATCATGACCAACCTAATTGAAATATCAATCACAATAATAAGACACATACCAAAAAAACATAAGCAAATTTTATAAAATTAATAATAATTAACCCATATATTCTTACATCCTTCATCTTCCACATCATTAACAACATATATACATGTTTGAAGACCATCATTTTCTTTAGTATAACAAACATCCTATGTGTATTAAAAAAACCAATTGTAATACACATAAAGTCTAAGTTTGTCATAAATTAGCAAAAATAAGAAATTATAATTACCATTGTTGACATTGTTGATGGTATCAAACCAATACATGGTCCCCATAACGCTTGGTCTGACAGCTCCCTTTCATAATCAGAAATTTTAGACAAAGATTCATATTCATCTTCGACTATATAATCATCTTCATCATTTGTTAGAACAACCGTACTATTATCAATCGTGGGAGCAATCTTAAAGCCGTTATCAACATGTTTTATGTCATTGTAGTATTTAGTTACAGTAAAACGACGCACAAAGTATGACGGCATATTGAATGTGTCTACCTTAATAGTAAAAATGACCTTATAAACACATAAATTTCCGAAAAGAAAATTTTGTATCCATTAAGGATCACCAGCACCCTAAAAAAACATGAGAAAATATTAAAATACATACTCCCTCCGTCCCAAAATTATTGTCCATGTTTGACTTTTTAAGTCTCTTTTGTTCAACTTTGACCTTAAATAATTTACTATTTGTTATATAATTTTTTATGTAAGATATATGAATAGATTGTTTTTAAATGTATTTTCATTGTTATAAGTTTTATCAAAAGTTATATAACCCAAATAAAGTTATTTATGGTCAAAGTTGACATGGAAATACTTCAAAAGTTAAACGTGAACAATAATTTTGGGACATAGGGAGTATAAAGGAACCCTCCCCCCTACACACACACACACACACACATATATATATATATATATATATATATATATATAGTTAATATTGTCATGTAAATAAAAGAAAACAAATGTATATAGAATCAAACCTCTAATAAACTCTTATTAACCAATTCATCAACAATAAAACCAATAAGAGGAATAACAGCTTCGTTGAAAAGAAAACATGTGATCTCTTCTCCTTGATCCATTATTCATACAACCAATTTATGCCTATATAAATAATGTTGATAAGACTAACATCTAAAAAGTAAAAGTATAAAAAATACTTACGATTGACGAGGGTTGTCAACATTTTTTTGACAACTTAAACAAAAGTAGCGAGCATCACGTATAGTAACCTTCTTACGACATATTCCACATTGAAAAAATTTCCAATAATTAAACATATCGATATCGATGATGGTTCCCTCAAAAGTATATTGTGTTCCCTTTACAAAGATTAAAAAGAACAAAGTGAGTTCGGTAATCACATGCAAGTTCAAATGTATTTCAACATTCCGGTGAAGGAGATTGAGTTTTTCAATCTTATATAAGTAGTTATATATTCTCATGAAATTTAAACATATTATGACATGTTGATCAATTTATCTTACACATGTCATGTTGTTGTTTTAAAGTGTACCAGAACCGGTACGTTTTATCTTAGACCAAAAGAAAAAAGAGGACTTTTGTGTCATGCGCTTATCTGATGGTTATAGTCATTTACATCATGGTGTTGTTGAGGTATTATATATATATATATATATATATATATATATATATATTTATCTTAGACCAAAAGTCCTCTTTTTTCTTTTGGTCTAAGATAAAACGTACCGGTTCTGGTACACTTTAAAACAACAACATGACATGTGTAAGATAAATTGATCAACATGTCATAATATGGTTAAATTTCATGAGAATATATAACTACTTATATAAGATTGAAAAACTCAATCTCCTTCACCGGAATGTTGAAATACATTTGAGATGAACCTGTTGTCTGTAATGTTAGAACACCTAATAGAAAACAATTGCCATATTAAACATATAAAAAAAATTGAAGTATAATTTTTTTGTTAAAAAACACACATCCGAAAAGAGAAACTTTTTAAGAAGTGAGAATGACAACTACATTACCATTGTAGCTTCTTATATCTTCATCGGTGTACTGTGTAGCAAGTTTTCCCCAAATCGATACACTAACTTGAAATGTACTTTCAACAAAGCACCATACCTTCAACAGGTGCATGGTTGAGCTTTACACACTCACAGAACACCTACAAAATAGCATCCACTGTTAATCAAATGAAGTTAATTAGTTAGGACTTGAGAACCAATGTATTTAGATTTAAGAAGGAAACTTCTTAAATCTAAATACATTGGTTCTCAAGTCCTTACTAATTAACTTCATTTGATTAACAGTGGATGCTATTTTGTAGGTGTTCTGTGAGTATGCAGAGCTCAACCATGCACCTGTTGAAGGTATGGTGCTTTGTTGAAAGTACATTTCAAGCATATTCTTGATTTTTAATTGTTTCTTCAGAGTATGAACGTGAGGAGCATAACTGAATATTGATTGTTGATCAACTGAGTAGCAGTTACAATGCCTACCAAGGTGCTTATTATTGCAGGCATGAAGTTTCCTTCAGCTTAAGGTAATTCAACTTTTCATTTTTTTTTGTTTTGTTATTCTACAAATGTATATTACTTCTAATGAAATAACATCTAGTTTTTTATTTTATTTTGTTAATTATGTAGGAACAAAGATATGGACAAATTTGCCCTTTGTGTTTACAAGGTATTGATTTGCAATACTTAGTTAATATAGAGTTTTTTTTATCAGAATATGCTTATTTATCTCAAAGTATGGTGCTAATGTTGGTATGGAGTTTAGACTTCCTTTGTGTTTCTATGACTAATACTGCAGGTGGTTTTCTTCACATTTGGACAATTTTACCCTATTGGAAAATTCAATGATATATAATTTAACCTCACCTTTTCATTATTTGTTTTTGTTATATTAAAAATCTATATTACTTCTAAATTAAATAACATCTATTTTTTTTCATGATGTTAATTATGTAGGAACACAGACATAGAAAGATTTGCCATTTGTCTTAACAAGGTATTGATTTGCAATAATTAGTTAATATACATATATTTTTGAGTAAATTACACGAATGGTCCCTACGGTTTAGGGTAATTTGTGCGTTTGGTCACTAACTTATTTTTTTAACTCGGAAGGTCCCTACAGTTTGTTTTTATTACGCATTTGGTCCCTGTCTTACCTAAAAAGACTATTTTGCCCTTGATTTTTTAATTTATTTAAATAAACACACCCCCAACCCCGCCCCCATCACCTTACCTTACATACCCCATCATTTTTTCCTATTTAAATAATAATATTTTTATGTAAGACAGGGACCAAGCGTGTAACAAAAACAAAACAGTGGGAACCAAGCGCGCAACAAAAACAAATAGTAGGAACCTTATGAGTTAAAGACCAAGCGCGTAAATTACCCCAAACCATAGGGACCATTCGTGTAATTTACTCTATATTTTTTTTTTATCAGAATATGCTTCTTTATCTCTAAGTAGGGTGCTAATGTTGGTGGTAGTTTAAACTTCCTTTGTATTTCTATGACTAATACTTCAGGTGGTTTTCATCATTTTTATTATAACCAAAAAGCGTTAGTAGTTGTTATGATGGTTTGATTTTCCATTTTTGTAAGCAACTAATTGTTGAGATGATTTGAGGTCGATTTTCAGGCATTCTAGGACTAAATTAAAGTTGAAGACCCTTTAATGTTTTTAATTCATGGTAATAATTCACTAACTGTATATGAGTTTAATTATTGATTGATATCATGAAAATTGGATACATATGATATGTTTTAATTATCTGAAACAATATGAAATGTGCAGACTTGACTATATGAATGAGTTGTTGGATTTGGTGTCTAAGCCCATAACTATAACTGGGATGTACTTGACCTGATTGTAGCATGGTCCTTTTGGGTTGCCTTCATCAGTGGAATTTGATAGGATGGACTTTTGAGAATAAAGTTATTTGTGATTTATTAAATATATTATAAGTATAATATATTAATTGAGAAATCATATTATTTTAAACTAGTATTGATCAAGAATTAATTTGGAATTAATTTTGTGATCAAAAGAGACTAATTAAATATATGGGGTTGATTATGTAAATCAATGATTCTTATAGTGTGGGCCAATGATCCATGATTGTTTAGATGGGCTAAACTGTGACAACCCGAAATTTCTATCTTGTACAACCATTCAATTCAATCAAAGTCAGACTCATTTCTGCTATCTTCTAGCATTGTTTAGGGTTTGTTTGAGTGTTCTAAACCTAGTGCATTCAAGGTTTGGGTTTAGGGATGAGTTATCTTATGTTCTTCGTATTGCATTCGAGCCAAACACCCCTTCAAGAGGAGTGTACGACCGTACACATGGGTGTACGGTCGTACACCCAAAATGGCCGTGAACTCATGCCCATATGTAAGCCAATCCTTCTTTTTCCTTCACTATTCACACTTCCAAGCCAAGAAATCTGATTCTCTCTCAACTATCATCAAGTTTTTCACCTTGATCTTCAAAGATGTAAGTATTCCTTCCATTGATTAGTTGATACATTGCTTTATCTAGTGAAGATCCATGTTTTCATCCATGAAATTATCTACTTTGGATAGATCTTCAAGTCTTCTTCACTTTCACCAAGAACACCAAGAACACCTACTTGTTCTTGGGCCGTGAACTCCTTAGAAGCCTTCAAAAGTGATCCGTTTGTGCTCAAGGCTTCACTTGACACTTAGCATCCTATATCGAACTTACATTCGTATCACTTACTACAGGCGAGTTCATACCCCTAACTTATCTTTTAAATGATTTTAAATGCTTTTATGGGGGGAATACAAGTAGAAAACATTATAGTTATTATATCAATCACATGTGATTAATAACTGTCAATCTAGTAGATTTCTTATTCTTCAAAACTGTGTTATCAAACTGTTTCAAAAACCTTTTTATAAACTGACATCAAGTCATCTATAGCCATTCAAATGGTTAAAACTCTTTTATATGTTAAATTCTTTATTAAACTCTTTTAAACTTATATATTGTCAAAATCATGTCTGTATGGATATAGTTATATAAATAAGGTTGAAAAGGCTTAGGACTGATAACTCGCCTTATTTCCTGTTCCTTGTTTGGTTGTGGACTTAGGGTATCGGTTGTTTGTCCGAATGTCGTTTGAATCTTAGTTATATATTATGTATATGTATATAGATATAAAAGTTCTTTCATTCAGTTCAATACCTTTGGGTAGCAAAGGTGTTCAAACATAATCAGTCATTCAAACAACATTACTAGTAAACTATAATAGGTATAGTTTAGGAAGTCACTACTTACTATTTCTAGAACAGTGAAACTTACAAGAGTCAGTTCATACATGAGTCAGTTCAAACATGCTATAATGAGAAACATAGAGAACATACTATACACTAGAACAGAGAAAACATATTATACACTAGGACAGAGAGAACATACTACACTAATACAATAACAAAGATAACATT